TCTCTGCCTCCAAATTATTCAATCTTTCAATAGAGGCAGCTTAGAGATCGGCAACGGCAAGAACAACATTCTGAACCTTAGACGATTTAGCCTTGGCTTCTTGGAATTGTGCACTTAATTGCGAGGCTTCCTGGCCGAGGGATATTACTTCTTCTTTGCTGAGCCGCAACCGATCCTCGAGATCATTCGCTTTGGCGGTCTTCTCTTTTAATATCGGAGACGCGTGGTAAGTTAATCCCTCTCGGCCAACAGTTGATCCTGCTAGGATGTAAGTTTTTATTTATCGAGGATCAATTTCTGAAGGCCCTTGGAAGCAAGGAAGTTGGCCTATAAAGCAAAAGTTCAACTCAAAAATCTTGTCATAGCAAAGCTAGAAGAAACAGTAGAGAGAGCAAACATCGTACCGTTGCTGCATGGTGCATGGCGTTGTTTATCATACATTCTCCTGAGAGGGAATATATTATTCGTATCTTCCTCTAAAGCCAAAAGATTCAGATAATTAGCAAGTTCCACTGGCCGGGATAACATATGACACCTAGTAGAGACCGAGAGGGAAACGCTCTTCCTCATCTGAGGATCTTCGGAGGGGAAAAATAATTATGCCCCAAATTCCCATGGACTAGGGACTGGGGAGGAGGGACATCTTCCTCTCGGGTGTCTGCGACCTGTGGAGATGACATAGCAGTTGCTGTGGGAGAAGGCAGAGTTGACGGAAAAAGGAGGTGAAGCTGATGGCGTTGCAGGTTGAGAAGCAGTTGCGCAAAAGTATTGCTAATTATTGGTTGCTCATCAACCAAAGATAGAAGAGACCCGGTACCTAGTCTCACTATACCAGGAACAACGACTGGGACTCAAAAATAGGAGTTGGCATCTTCCACTATATCACATTCCTCCCAAAGTGCTCGGACGTCGTCCTCGGATGGTGTAACTAACTCGATAGGTTGAGCGTCTTGTTGAGCTGATGAACATCATTGTCTTCTATGTATAGAATCCTCATCATCACTAGCTTCTTCATCATTATCGATCACCACAGTATCTGCGGCTGGCTCGGTCGAGGCACTCTTTGCCTTCTTATTTTTGCCCCCTGCCGAAGAGGAGCGTCGCCTTTTTGGTTGCTTATTCTCTGGTCGGAGACTCTGAGAGGAAGAACTTGCACCGGAAGTAGGCCTGACAAACTCGTTTAAGCAAAGGCCTCCTGCAACAACCTCGCCGCATCTAAGGGATCGGCCAAAACGCCCTCCTAGGGGATGGAAATAGAGCCCTGCGGTAGACTTGAATTCAGTATAAAAAGAAGTTAGCCAAAAATTCTTTCACGAAAGATAAAATGAGGTTAATTCGGAAATTAACTTACCATGATTTTTGGCCTTCCACCCGTATTTGAGGGTCAGTTCTTTCCATCGGCGGGTCTCGGGCATGGTAATATCTAGAATCTTCCGGACCCACTGGTCTAAGACCTCGACCCTTAGAGGTATACACCGAGTTATTGAGATAACAAAAAAAGAAGAGTCGGAAACGGCGTGAACAATTCTTAATCATAGAAAAGGGTAGATATCGAATTTACGTGTACGATTCCAAGATTTAGGAAAGGATAGAGTCATGGTCGGGATGATGTCCCTAGTGGCAACTACAACGAACCGCTTCATCCACCTACGGTCGTTGTCATCATCCATACTGGTAAGCAAAGCATGGACCACGTTTGTTGAAGTTTATCATTCCCCTACGAAAAATCTTGGGGGAATAAAGGTTCATCAGTCGAGCCAAGGAAAGCTCTTCCCCCATCTCCTGTCATAGTCGTTGAAGGCATACTACCTTCTGCCACACAGAAGGGCCCACCTGTGTCAAGCAGACTTGGTAACGAAGACAAAACTCCAAGATAACGGAGTCAAACCCCACACTCAATGAGAACGGGCCCAAAGTAAAGGGATACATATAAACATACGTAAAACCCTTCTTGTAGAAGGTCACTCGCTCTGCCAGGTCAGTAGCGATGATATTTAAATCTTGACAACCACACTCTTCCTTCACAGCATCTTCACAATCTTCACATCATGGATGCTAGAAGGACGAATGGAAGAGAGATATACGCCAACAACCCATGTTCGGGGGTTAGCAGAAGGGTACTTCTCTTCAAAATCCTTAGTTATAATAACCTTTCTCAGAATGATGGTGCTCACCATGGGAGGAGCAGCATTATCAGCACTTTCTTTGTTTTTTGAAGCACTGGAATATTTGGAAGAATAAGCCATTGTTATCTGAAGAAGAAGACTAGAGGAAGTGGAAAACAAGTATGAGTTTGAGTAAAGAGAGATTTAGAGAGTTTGGAAAGTCATGAAGTGTAAAAAGAGAAGGATGATACGTATAAGTAAAGGAATAGGCAGTTAAAATCGTGGCCATTTTTACCTCGATAACCGGCAAGAGTGTTGTTGAATCGTGGGACGACGCGTTTTCGAGGCATTAAATGTGAAGAGACGTACGTCTAATCAACTGTCACAAACTTTTCAGAGGGGCTAAGAGAATTTTCCGCCAAGAAAGGTATATTTACCAACTTCCCAGTGACACAAGGATATGTCACCGAAAAGAAGGGGGACTATCTGTATAGGGCAAAGTATGTTCATATTAAATACTCGAATGATAAAGCGATACATGGAGCCGAAGACAGAAGGCAACCAGGTCCGAAGGCAGCGATCTCGTTTGTTCCCGAAGGGAATGGTGTTCTTGAAGACGAAATAAATGCCTGCCACCCGATAGCATTTAATGAAAAACATTTTATAGCATTAAGTACATGGTCCATTACATAGAATATGACATTCAGTGCCTATTTCTTCAATAGCACTCATAATTGTCATTTAAGAGGGGCTTGATCCTAAGACTTTGTTCCCTAGGTGCAGCTATAAATAATGAGCTCTACAACCATTGTAAGGGACACGAATTTTTTGACAAGCAAATACTATACTCTGTTTAAAGCTCGATAATATTTTATCTTTCTCCTTATTAATATTGTTACTATTGCCTCCGGAATCTCTGCTCCCGGAATCAGGATTTTTCTTTATCTCGATTTCAACGCTAAGTCATACATTCTCGTTTAATTTATTTATCATTTTAGGGTTAAACTGATTCACTTATCTATGAACCACGCGTAAAAATCAATGCACGAGGCTCATCCCACAGTTAGCATTTTCACTCGATTAGTTTGACACGTTGTACTCTAAGTCTAAGCTATTCCCTAAAATAATACTGTCATGATATATAAATAGATAGATAAATTAAAATTAATTTTCTAGATAAGTTGAAGCAGTAAAATAAGCAGAGAGATTATCCAAAGGCAAGAGGGATTGATATGGTGGGAAGAGTTCCTATTTCCAACATATGAAAAGGTCTATTTTTATAATTTTGTCAAGTAACAAAATGGAATGTGAAGTAACTACCTAGCAATAGTTGCACGGAATTTTGGACAAGTAATGTCACAATTTAATCTTTAACCTTTTTTAAGTAATTTTATAGCTCAACTTTACAACAACAATAAATCAGTGTAATTCCAGTGCAGTATGGGTAGTACAGTGATTATCGATACCTTATATTTCCTAAACACGTTCGGCTCAAAGAACGATAGCTCTAACTTTGTGATTCAAAATTTTAGCATCATTATGTGGAATATAGTAGTGCCGAGATTTAGTTCAATCTTTCATACTTACTATAATTAGCCGATCTACGAGGCGAATCCTTGTGTAGAATTACTTTCATACTCCAATAGGATATATAAAACCGCAAAAAAGAAATTTTGATGAGCAAATACTCAAAGAAAAGACAAAAATAAGGAAAAGTTTGATTTCTCCAAGGAAATGGCAATTTGTCGGTACACTTTGTTTGCTACTATAGGGAGCTTGAAAATTGAAAGGTTCTTCAATTTCTTCTTATTCTACTGTTCATTATCTAAATATTTTCAGACAGTTCAGATTCATACTATACTTATGAGTAAGAGGAATTGCAATTACTCAAGCTGGGGTGCGCTCCTGCTTCTCTGCAGAAAAGTATTACATGTCCTCTTTTGTAAATTCTTGAGGTAAAACATTCAGTTTTTGGTTTCTTTTTACTATTTAACCAATATAGATTCGTTGTATTTTAATCTGTTATAACATGTAATTTGCTTTATGTATTTTGTTAGTAATCTCACCTTTTAGCGTAACTGGTATGGTTGTTATCATATCACCGGTAGGTCACTTTGTGGCAATATTTTTTTAACTTGATAATGTCAAATTCTATTGCACTATGTGAGTATAGAAGTTAAGCTCTTCTATTTATGCCAACTTTTCTTAAGGTATGTCCTAGGATCACTTATTAGGAGCAATGGACGTTCCTAAGTTTCTAATATCATACTGAGAATACAAGTTGTTTTCTATTTCTATTTGAAGATTTCAAATCCAATGAATGATGACAGCCTTAGGGGTCGTTTGGTTCGCCTAGCCCGAATGTTGCACCCTAGATGCCAAAAGTCCAGTAGCCGAAAGCATCACTAGCTTAGGCTCTAATCGCGTGCCTGTTGAAGAATGAGTCGGCGACTCATAGGTTGTGGCTTGGTTAAGTGAACCCACTGGAGTCGTAGTGAAAGCGAGTCTTCATAGGGCAATTGTCACTGCTTATGGACATGAACCTGGGTGATCTATCTATGACCAGGATGAAGCTTGGGTGAAACTAAGCGGAGGTCCGACAGATTGATGTTGAAGAATCAGCGGGTGAGTTGTGGAAAGATATCCCATGGGGTGGGATAACTAGAGGGTGTTTGGCTAAACTTATAAGCTGATCAAACTGGCTTATAAGCATATTTTGGCTTATCTACGCGTTTGGTAGACACCCAAAATGCTTATAAGTCAAGTGCTTATAAGCTAAAATCAGTCATAAGTCATAAGTTGGTCACCCCCAACTTATGGTTTTTCAGCTTATAAGCACTTTTGGTTTGACCAATGCTTTTACTAGTTTATCCTTAATAATATTTTTAATTTACAACATACTTGTCTCAAAATAAATTTTCTAACTTTCTCTTCGTTCCATATTCGTTGTTCATCCTTTTCTTTACAAAGTGACTTTTTAATTTATAATCTTTTATAAAAGATGTAAGGGTATTTTAGTCATTTAAATAAAAGAACAACTTATCAACACTTTTCTGCCAAACACATCAACTGTTTATTATCAATTTCAGGACAGTTTCAGCACGTCTATCCAAACACGTAAATGTTTAATTAAAAAATCATTTTCAGCACTTAAAAATACTTTTCAGCACTTTAAGTTTATCAGCAATTTACAATTAGCTAATCCAAACGGGCTCCTAATCCCACCATTTTAGTGTAAAAGTTATCCTGGGATTAGTTATTACCCCAAACCAAACATGGGATAAAGTTAATCCCAAATTTTTCTCCAGAATTATTATCCTTATGTCATGTAGCAAACTAACTCTTAGGGTGTTTTGTTGAAGAGACTTTCCACTTTGGTACTTTCTTTAGTAATTCTTACTTTTCACTTTAACTTTTTTACCACATATGTAACAAATGAAAGAGTGCAGATAAAGAAAAGCAGGGAGCTAAGAAAAGTAGGAAGCTTTCTGTCAGTGTCATGTAATAGTTTCTAGTGTTATATGTTTTATTAAGGCCTTGCCTCTTCTTACTATTTTCTTTATTATATCAGAGAATTTTTTATTTTTTCTTGGTCGGATAATCTATAAAGGAACTGTCCCTTTTAGGACATTTGATAAAATTGGAACGTTACAGTGAAGATTAGCATGACCTGCGCAAGAATGACATGCACAAATAGAGAAATTGTCTCAATTTTTACTTATCTGAAAAAATAATATATAAAGGAATTGGTAATATAGAGTGCATTTCAATAAGTGTGCATATTTTTTGGTTTTTTGTTTGTAGACTTCTATACTAATGCTCTATTTCTAATGCTTTGAAGCCAAGGACCACTATCCATCTGACAGTTAGCATGTTATCATTAAGGAGAAGGGTCTGGTTTTATTTTTTCACAAAGTTTTCTATTGATAATGACATCTGAGCCAAATTTGAAAGCCATATATCACAAGTTAATATCTGCCTTTATTCCTTAAGGTCAAGGTTATTAATTTGATCAATTTTCTTTCAAGAAGAAATGCATATCGATAATTGTTTTAATTGTTTTGATAAAAGAATAGAAATATGAATGTGTAGTTGCAGGGGACAGTGGATCTTTGCTTTCAAGGTTAGCTTTGATCATTCCCTCCTCAACACTTCTGTCCATTATCTTAAGCTTGTTGCTTATTCAGAAAAACCTCGGACACGTCCTGATGTGTGTGTGTGTATATACATATATATATATGCTAGGTTGTTCAAGATAACCTTAACTTGTCCATTGACTTGCCAACATGGTTAACCAGGAGAAAAATTTTAGTTCTAAATTCCTTTTTGTGGCTGCTAGTTTTCTACTTATAGTATGTACAAAGTATGTAAATCGTGCTCCATTCGATGAAGCAGTGAATCAGTTCCATTTTCTTGTTATGTTTGTAGGATTGTTTGTTTCTCTAAGTTTGATTTTGCATTTTTGAATGGATATAATGACAGGGGAGAGATGGAAGATGGAGAATGGACAATGGTGCAGAAAAGTGGGAACCAATTTGTGGTGAATGGCCAACCTTTTTATGTGAATGGATTCAATACTTACTGGTTAATGGTGTTTGCTGCTGATCAGTCCACAAGGGGAAAAGTTACTGAGACGTTTCAGCAGGCGTCTGCTGTCGGTCTATCAGTATGCCGGACTTGGGCATTTAATGATGGCCAATGGCGAGCTCTTCAGAAAACTCCTTCTGTTTATGACGAAGACGTTTTCAAGGTACTTACTTATCTTGTCGCCCAAAATTTTCGTATATATACGTATGCTAACCTTAAAAGGACTGAAGTAACGTGGTCAGTGGGGATTCATTTAGCCGATCCCATCTTGCTTGGATTGAGACATAGTAGTAGTTATTGTTGTTGCAATACATATGCTAACCTTAAAAGGACTGAGGTAGCATGGTCAGTGGAGATTCATTTAGCCGACCCTAGTAGTAGTAGTAGTAGTAGTAGTTGTTGTTATAATACATATGCTAAGCTTGAAAGGACTGAGGTAACGTGGTCAGCGAGGATTCATTTAGCCGACCCCAACTTGCTGGATTGAGACATAGTAGTAGTAGTTCTTGTTAAACAGAAAAGCTAAAAAGTATTGATGTTCTTGTTATTTAGGCTCTGGATTTTGTGGTGAGTGAAGCCAAGAAATACAAGATCAGACTGATACTATCACTAGTCAACAACTGGGAAGCGTATGGCGGAAAATCCCAGTATGTAAAATGGGGTAAAGCTGCTGGCCTGAATTTAACTTCTGATGATGATTTCTTTTCTCATCCCATACTCAAAAGCTACTACAAGGCTCATGTGAAGGTACTATTTTGAGTATTTTCTATTATAGTACCTTTTAGTGAACTCCACAATGCAGCATTGTCTTCAATGTCAAGTCTGAATTTGTTTTAATCTGTTTTCTACAGGCTGTGCTCAATAGAGTGAATACCTTTACCAACATAACATACAAAGACGATCCTACTATTTTCGGTTGGGAACTGATGAACGAACCACGTTGTGAATCAGATCCTTCTGGGGATAAACTGCAGGTTTGTCGCACTTTATTGTCAAAGCAAATACTAACTAGGTTTTGCGCTTGCCACTTAGATGTCATTCTTTTTGACAGAAGTTATTGAATACTGATATATCAGTACCTATTGATATTTTTATAGGCTTGGATAGAAGAAATGGCAGTTTATGTGAAGAGCATTGATCCGAAGCATTTAGTGGAGATCGGACTCGAAGGTTTCTATGGTCTCTCAACTCCTAACCGGGCTCAGGTCAACCCAAATTCCTATGCTCAACAAGTTGGAACTGACTTCATTAGAAATCATCAGGTTCTTGGGGTTGATTTCGCTTCAGTTCACATATATCCAGACTCTTGGTAAGCATACTTAAATATTGCACTATCATATTCAGAGTGAGGTCCAGGATTTAAATTTTATGAGTTTTAACTTTTAAAGTTCTTAACACTGAAAACATTGCACTTTTTACCTGTGTTCATAAATTTATATTTGTTAAAATTATAGTGACTTTTCACGTACAATATCTATGTTTCATGTCGAAAATACTGAGTTCAGTTGAACCCATTGTCTATAAGCTACATCCAGAGGTGGAGCCATGATTTCAAGCTTATAGGTTCGGGATTCTAATCGTTTTAAGTTACTACGTTCTAAATTAATAATTTATATATATTTAATGGATCTTTTAAGACAAATAGAAGGTTTGAACCAAAGCTAGTGGGTTCGGCCGAACCCGCTCCCGGCACTCTAGCTCCGCCCCTAGCTACATCTGCCTCTGATCATATTGATATACCCCTAATTTGCACGACAGCCACTAACTTTCTGTACTGTCTCAGGATTTCAAAATCGATTTCTGATGCTCATGTCGAATTCACCAAGTCATGGATGCAATCACACATTGATGACGCGGAGAACTATCTCAACATGCCAGTTATATTTGCAGAGTTTGGTGTTTCCGCGAAAGACCCTGGCTACAATTCGACTTACAGGGATACACTAATCGCTACAGTTTACAAAACAATCTTGAATTCGACTAAAAAAGGAGGAGCTGGAGGTGGAAGTCTTTTGTGGCAAGTATTTCCAGAAGGAACAGATTACATGGATGATGGTTATGCAATAGTACTTTCAAAGTCACTCTCAACCTCGAACATCGTCTCTCTTCATTCTAAAAAGCTAAATACCTTCAATTCCTTCTGTTCTTGGAAATGCCACTGGGGTTGCAGAAAGAAACATGTCCTACTAGACGACTTCCAATCTCGTGATGAGCTTTAACATGTTTGTGTAAGAAGATATGCCATTTGAATGAGATGTTTGCACCAGCTGTAAAAGATTACTACATATATGCATCTTAATGTGGAACATAAATCAAGTTTGTCTTATAAGAAACAACTATAAGCCAGATTGTGTGAATAAGGAATTTGTAAAGTTCATAGCTGCATTTGTTGCTGATTTACGTTGTCGTTATACAAAAGCTATCGCCATGCCCTTGGATCTTTTTTTTTTTCCTGATGAATAATAATTAATGGAGTATTTTGGCGATGAAGGAGAGTCTTGGCGTAACTGGTAAAGTTACCTCCATGTGAATAGGAGGTCACGTGTTCAAGCCGTGAAAATAGCCTTCTGCAGAAATGCAAGGTAAGTCTGCGTACAATAAACCTTTGTGGTCCTGTCATTCCCTGGACCCCGCGTAAAGCGGGAGCTTAGTGCACTGGGCTAGGGCTGCTTATCGGGCGGATTGGGCGGTTAATTACTCTTAACGGTTTGGCTTAACGGTTATCGGCTTTTAAATGTATTAATCCGCTAGCCACCCGATAAAATATCGGGCGGATTGGTATCGGTTTAGTTCTTATCGGGCGGTTTATCAGCCTAATTCAATCTATATTACGTGCATTAATTGTTTGTTGACCGCCTAGCATACAAATTCAGAATAGGAAATTACACATTGAGTCCAGGCATACATGTTTGTTAGCGCCTACATAAGAATGATGTAGTGTGTCATGTGGTGTAGAGTGAAAAAAGCAGAACACATTGTAGTCCACATTACATCCCAAAGCAGACTATGAAATGATGTAATTAAGGAAAAAGTAGTTCTAATGGATATGCCACTGTAACTCTTGCTGGCTATAACATGGATCATACAAGGATATCAAATTTTATTGAGATAACTATGTGATTGCCTGGGTTTAGATGCAAAGGAACAATTTCAGTAGTTTAGCTCATTAAATATAATGGTATCTAAGCTTTTATTAATTTATTCATAGCACAAACAAAGCAAAATTACAATAAACGTGCGGTCCTTCCCTTTTTTTCTTGTTCATTTCTCTTAGAAAGGTAACAATATATTAATAATTAACATAAAGGTTGTGCTGGAGCCATATTTACAATTTTAAAAAGCAAAAATATGAGCTTGCTCTTCATACTAGGGCATTAAGATACAATGCTGGAAGCCTGGAAGTCGACGAGATAGAGTACTGCGGGTGGCTACTGGAGTACTGGTTGAATTTCTACTGAAGCTGGTTGAATTATGGTCGAATAAAGAGAACCATAANCAATCCTTTCCCCATCCGTTAAACCGTAACCCGATACCAATAAAATTCGATTTCGGTTCGGTTTTGAACACCCATACACTGGGCTACCCTTTTTGCTAATAAAATAAGCCAAGTTCAATGTTGTGGTATGCCATGTTCCACATCTGTCAAGTTTCAAGGCGTATAAGTGGCTTATTTAGTGAAAAAATACATTTTAGCTATATACTAAGGCTTCAAAATTCTATAAAATTTCTTTTAAAAGGGTGACAGGTGACTCCTTTAAATTAAGTAGCAAGTCTTTATTATTTCAAGTCTTATCATTTGAGAGAATTCAAATACAGACTATCAAGGGAAAAGAAGATAAGGTCATCCTTTGAAATTTCAAAATGCAACAATCAGCCATGAATCTCATTTTAACAAACAGACGACCTAACCAGTCGTCGTAGTATCATACACCTGATGCAAGGTCTAAGATAAGAAGCCTCTGAATCAGTACCAGAAAGAAGAAACTGCAAATGAAACAACTTAAATAATAGAAGGATAGGTTTCAGTTTCCTGATAATGACCTTAACTGACTACTACATCCTATAGAGAAAATGAAACAACATAAAGTGTCATCCTATAAATCCATCCTAGCACAAAGGACTGCTCCTCTGGAGAAAGGATGCAGCAGGCCTCACGTAAGTATAACCCTGAAAAGGGTCCCCGTTATCCTTTGGACTGGAAACTGGAGAATCTACCAGTGACATCTCTGTCCAGCACTTATCGAAATTGGCAATGCAATGTATTCCAGCAATTTCAGGACGGAAACTTGGCTGTATCTCCCTCGCCTCCAACTTCTTCCAATTGATTGGTCTGAACCATTTATGGCCCTTGATATCATCACTTCCCTTCAGTGCACTGCCAAGCCGTTTACTTGGGTCTTTTTGCAGCAGCTAGAGAATTGGGAATATAGATTAATCTTATGGTAAAGACAACAAAAAAACTAAACTGAGAAAACATGAATAGCAGCATTTCTCTATCCAGGCAGGCATGACACTGTTATAGAATTGTAAATAAGTCATGAAATTCCAGCCTTCATAGAACTGTCAACAAGTTAAAAGATAACATCTTTACTTAACACATGGTGCGAGGATGAAAAGGACAACTACATCTGGTTTTCAGAAACAAGTGTACAAGTGACGTTCCATTCATAAAGACTCACAAAGAGAATAAGAGGAGATGAGGAAAATTACCCCTTTAAGCAGAGCATGTGCTTCACTGGACAAAAACGCTGGCAGCTTGAGTTTGTCTTTAACTATCTTCTGCTGAATCTTTTGCCTATTTCCACCCGTGAAAGGAGGCTGCAAATACAGAAAGACAAAGCATTAGCAGGGAAATTACAATTAAGTTTTCTGAAGAATGCGGCATTTTCTTCCAGGAAAATAAACATGCAACTGCAGAGTTTCTTGCAATCAAAAGAATCTTAATATTTGTAAAAAAAAAGTCCAATTGTTTCTGCTAATGATAGATTCCTCCCGTGCCCCACAAGTGATAGAAGTGATATATTACAAATTATTTAGTAAATTGTGCTCCAAATTAAAGTGGCGACAATGTTCTGGTGCAATCCCCACAGGACATCCCTTTATTTCTGCATATGTGAATATAGTTTGATGAGATTGCGGGAACAGGTCAAACCGAGAAAGCTTGTAGGAACAGCAGGTGGCTCTTAACGCAAGTCTAAGAACATAGTCATGCAGAATTCTTCTCATAAATAAAATGATCAAGTAATGCCTAAGACTTGAGACGAAAGGAACTTGTTCTACAGCTATATGTGCAGACACATGAATAAAGATGCTGACCTTCCCGGTGAGCATCTCAAACAACAAAATTCCTACACTCCACCAGTCTGCAGCCTTATCATGGCCCTTCCCGAGAATAATCTCCGGTGACATGTATTCTACTGTTCCACACATGGAGTTTGATCTTGTATCCTCCTTGAATTGCTTGGCAAGTCCAAAATCAGTCAACATGGCCTACAACAAGTAAGGGAATCGAGTAAATTAAATGCATAACCTTTACATGGAAAGGAAAAAATTGGATGGGTGAAGACGCGCATGCATTACACACACACACAAATAGAGGGAGAGGGGTGGATATACATGGCCATCGACATCCACTAGTATGTTTTCCGGTTTGAGATCCCTGTGCATTATTCCATTTGCATGAAGGTGAGACACTGCTGATACAATTTCTGCTGCATAAATTCGTGCCAGATCCTCTCTGAGAAGCAAAGCAGGAGTTAAGTAACTCACAGTTTCAGCTTTCACAAAGTGACAGAAAGCAAGAAGGGAGAATCTACCTGAAAAGGCCTTGTTTATAGAGCTGAAAGAAGAGGTGGCCACCATTAATGAAGTCTAGCACAAGGTAAAGCCTATACTTTGTCTGCAAGTTAAAACCATGAAAAGGGTGTCTGATTATCAAAAAGAGTTACAAAGTTAAATGATTGACTTACAATCATACAGTTCTAAAGATTCAAAACAGTACTATCCATGTGTGGTTGCTCAATGATTGAAGACCTATTGAATGAGAAAGTCTAGGAAATCACCTGGAATGAGTACCTAAGCTGGACTACAAATGGGTGATCTATCTTTGTCAAGATATCTCTTTCTGCTTTCATATATTCAGCATGGTTCTTCTCCATAATCTTATCCTTTCTCATCACCTTCATTGCATAAATTTCTGATGTGCCCTTCTTTTTCACCTGAAATACTTTCCCGAATGCACCCTGCCCAACAACTTTCATGACTTCAAAATCTTCAAGGCAGATGGTTCCAGCTTTTGCTAAATCAGTGACAGACAGCTCCTGGTCTTCCTTAATTGTCTGTGTGATAACATTCTCTACCAGTTCCAGTGAATCTTCTGTTTCATGAATGGTCAGCCTCCCAAGTTTGAGTGCTTGATTTTTGTATGAAGAAGGACCAACCAAGGAATGTGACCTACTGTGTACAATCTCTGGATCATCATAGACAAATTCACTCATATCTGCTGGAAAGACCATGCTTTCACATACTCCATTACTAGTTTCATTTGAGGCCAGAGAAGGAGGACCAAAGACATCAGAGAAATCCAGTTCAACCTGCTCTGATGGAACAACATTGGGGGCACTCAGTGGTAAAAGCAACTGCCGGTGCAAGGACTTCTGAAAGTTAGTTTTTGTCGGAGCAAAGAGCTGAGAAGAGACCATGTTTCCGGTTACTCTTTGAGGGATGTAGGTGGCCAAATATTAATACTATAGCAGGCAAGCCTTTCCAAATGCTTCAAAGGAGTGAACTACCAACAAAATCCTATAAATAGCCGTAATTGAAGTGAAGTCCACGTTCAGCGTAGCAGTCTTAAAGAACTTAGAAAGCAAGCACAACAAAATCCAGCAGAAAAATCCGTTCTTGTTTCCCGATTTACAGGAAACTGCAGATACCACAGTAGTTCTAGTATTCATGAAGATTCTGAAGTCAAATCTGTCGAACACGTCAAAACAGAGAGAGTGAGCAGCAAGTTAGGAAGATGTAGCAGTCGAACGCAAGTCCTGTTAATACTTTAGAAAATAGAAATTACTGGAAGAAAAAACCTGCAAAGGATGCAAACTCCGCGAACTATAGAATTCAATGCAGTATATAGAAACTCAATGCAGCACTTTGAAGAGATGTTCATCTCATCATTCAAGAAAATGAAGAAAAAGAACTTACTTGACAGATTTATCCACACACACACACGGAGGGAGGAAGTAATATAATGCAGATGAATTATGGGCATATGCTGCACTATCTGCCTTATAAAAAAAAAATGCACTATCCCGTTTAATTCTGTAGTATTACCACAAGAACATAATCAGCAGATGAAATACGCTTCATTATCCAGTGTGATTCTCTAATATTATCACACAAAAACATAATCATCAGACGAAATATACTGCACTATCTAGTGTACTTCTCAATCTCTAGAAATATTGCACAAAATTTCTGTCTATCTCTCTTAAATCTCCTGCATTATTAGGCACATCTAGCTTATATATACACACTCAAAAATCAGGATTTAACAGAAGAAACCACGTACCACTTATCATTAATACTTTCTCTAGTCCTAAAAGGCAAGTCCTAATTGACAATAAAGAAACTCAACATCATTGTTCTACATGTTAAGAAAAATCTGCTCACTAGCATATTGAGTCAACAACAATATGTTACTTGTATTAAATTACTTTCCTTTCGTTTCAGAACATGTCTAGTCCTATTCCAAATTTAGGTCGCTCTTTCTTCTGCATTCCTTTTCTTTTATCCACTAGAAGGAGGAACAAAATACGGAGATTGTTAGAATGTCCCACACTGGTTGTCTCCTTACGTGGTATTGGCAATCCTCACCTCACGAGCCAGCTTTTAGGGCTGACTAGGCCCAATGTCCATTTTCTTAGCAGAGATAACAAACAATCTAGCAACTAAGACTACAATATTACGAATCAGAACATTTCAGATCTAATGAGTTCACTGAATTTAAGACCAGTTCCAACTATTTGCAGACTATATTGTACTAAAACAATAAAAGAAATTATTAAAGTATCATAACTAAAACTTATTAAGGTGCCAAAGTTCAAAACTACGAAATTTCAGCCAAATAACAAATATTGCGCCTATAAATCAACAGAATAATAACGAAATATGCAACAAATACTTTTTTTACTGGTCTAGGGAACATAAAATATGAAAACACGAGAACTTGCCGAATTAATTTATTTTCAGAAAGACAAAAAAGTGAAAAATCTGAGATCTGAGCCAAATACATCAAAATAAAAACAATTAGAATAGAAACTGTACATATGAATACATAATTTCATAAAAAGGTGAATTTTTTAAAATTCTAGATCCAAATCTGACAGAATTTCTATTGCTAACTAAATAACAACGATTAACAAATACAAACCTAAGAAAAAAACAGAAGAAAGAGGAGAAGGTAGAATCGTACCTTGGGAGAAGGAAGATGGAGATTTTTTTGTTTTCAGGAGAAAATGCGTTGTTTATGACGGGACCCGTCTAAAAATGCAAAAGAAATGGCGTCGCCGTGTAAATATGGAGGGAGTGGTGGCTAGTGGGTGGGGTGGGTGGGTATAGCTACACGTAAAAGGTGGATCACATAACACGCTAATCAAAGAGGTCAAATTTTTTATTTTAGTTTTTTGTTGATAATTGACTCAGCTGATGTGGCGTGATTCTAGTGGCTTAAGTGACCCAGTATTCTTAGCATGCATGTTAAAGCTCAGCATATTCTTTGAGGATTCCTAGCAATTGGTTGCATGTGGAATGTGTTGCTTCTTCAATTTCCTTTATTTATTTTCTTGCATTTATACGAAAAAAACCAAAAATGAGCAGGAGAGTCTAACATGGGCTCGTGGCGGAATGGGTATTCGAAATTTGTAACTTTTTTTTAGATACTCTAGCAGCCATTGACCTCGACTCGGAGTATATATAGTTTCATAGAAAAATTGAAGAAGCGAGAAAGCACCCATCATACTTTATGTCGGGTGGGTGCTTTGGTTAAGGATGAGCTTCCGAAGGTTTATGGAAGATTAGGGGGCGAGAGTTCCAATCCGACACCGAACATGCCTCTTTTTTTTTTTTATATAAACTGGACAATTTTATTAAACAACAGTTAGGGCGTACAATAGTTATGATCCTGGGGATCATTACAAGAGGTTGATAATTCATGCATTGCATGCTCATTACCAACTTTGGCTACAAGTGTACAAGCAAAAATAGAGATAGTCTTTACATAAACATTTTCTCCCTTGTCCGCCAGCATCCTGGCCATGACATAGGGTGGGGGAGAAAACAAAAGACATATTTTATTGGAAGCAGTAAGGGTCTCTGCATGCTTTGCTAATAGATGTGCTACTTCATTGCTTTGTCTGAAGTTATGCTCGATCACACTACAAGAAATATGAGATACGACGATATTTAATTAATGACACTCGTAATAAATATCGAGAAAAAGTTAATTTCTTGACGTTTTTCAGAAAATGTCATTTAAATACCGACATTTAATGAAAAATGACAAACATATTCTGACATTTGATTTAAATGTCACATTATTAGGAGTAAAACGACATTAACAAGTGATATTTATAATAAAATGTCAAAAAGTAATTTCTTTTTCCAATATGAGAAATTAAATCTAAGTTTATAAACATTGAACCCTATTTCGAGGGTATTTCGATAGGTTTAAAAGTTGGTCAAACTAGATTTTAAACTTTTTTTTATTTTCTGGAGTGTTTGGCAAAAAATAAAAGCGGATTAAAAAAAAGCTAAAAAGTGCTTTAAAAGGCCAAAAGCAATAAGTTGGGTGACCACAACTTTTTCGATTTTGACTTAAAAGCCATTTAGTTTGACCAATAAAATTACTTTTTTGTCCATTATAAGTTTTCATAATACCAAAATTACCCTACGTCAAAGAAACCCTAAAACATTTTACTTCTTCTGAAGACAACCGTTCCTTTTCTTTCCTCTTCCTCTCTGCTTCATCTTCATTTTTCTGCACTTTTCCTCAAGTATTTCAGTGGAAATCAATCCTCGTTGTTTTCTGACTCAAAACATGATGTTGAACAGCCTACCTTCTAAATGAGTTACTAGTTAGCAAAAAAACATATTAAAAACGAGGACCCATTACTGCTGCTAATTATCGTATTAGAATCAAGGACCCATAACTGCTTTTTCCATTCATTACGCCCAATTGTATTCACTCAATGCTGATTTTAAATGCATACTGTGTTTCCTAAATCTCTTAGGACAAAAGAACAAACATGACACAGAATATTAGCATGCCCGAAATCCACAACTTTTAGTAGACATTTGTCAAATTTATTGAAATATTTTTATTAAGAGAGAAATTTCTTCTTTGTCAAGAGTAAATGGACAAAAAGGGAAAGAGGAATTCAATAAAATAATTTGATATTTTAAATAGGTTTGAGACTTTTATGAAAGTTTACTTGATTGAAAGTGGTGATAAATGAGCATTCAAGAATCATATTTATAAAAATTATCTAAAGTAATCAATTAAATTGAAATTAAATTAAAATATAAATTATTTTTTATTTGAATTAATTTATAATTAAATATATTGTAGTAATCAGGTTCTTTATAATGTTAACAATTTAAAGAATATTTTTATCTTTTTAATAGGAAAAAGTGTTTGCCAACACTTGTTTATCAAATACTTCAACAACTTTTTTTAAGTTTCAACATTTTCCAAACAAGCAACTGTTTATTTATAAAATAAGCTCCAATACATTAAAAGTTATTTTTAAGCAAAAGCCACTTTTTTTAAGACAATCCAAACTGCTCTTCGTCTAGGACTGTTCAAGCCGCCGAGGCACTATGAAACTTTCGTCTCTACATCTTCCATTCATTCTTATCCCAATTCGCATGTAAAGGTATTTCAAATCAATCGAAGATTTATAAATCTCAATCTTCTATATTTTGATTCGTGGCTGCTTTTGACTGTTTGTCCTTAACCCTAGATTTGTGATCTATTTTGATTCTTTGAAACGTTTCAAACATAGAAGGGCCGCCAGCCAGATCTAAAATTTCAGCCACTAGCCGTTGTCAGTCTCGCAATTTCCGATCAGATTCATCTAATCTAACTCGTGCTCTGTAAGTTTATCTTTTTCTTTTCGAGTGAAATGAGATTTGTGCTATTGTGATAACTAAAGCCCTTGAACTTTTTGTATCTCTTTCGTTGTTTATTTTAATCTTCTATATATTGGTGAATTAGCCGCAAAACAGTTTATAAGCATGGTAACTGTGACTTCTTATCAGGTAAACTGACATTAATGTTGTTTTGCCTTAATCTGTTTAGTGATAATTTTCTTTTTTGATTTCAGACCTTGGATACATTAGTTTTTTGAAGTTTGTGAGATCAATTACTATTGTGAAGAATCTTGTCTTAGAGAAAGCATGGAACACTTCATCAGGAAAACACATGGATGCTTGAAGCTTTGAATTACTGGTGTTGAAGTTTTTTAGGAAAAAGTTATGATTATGTAATTGTAGTTGCATGTTGATGTAATTGTTGTTTTATTTTAATTATCTATGGTGTTACTGGCGTGTGGTTATATGCCTTTTGGAAAGTTTTGAAATGAACAAAAATTAATTTATTGCTTTCTACACTACATAAAAGAGCAAAAGAGTAGTAGTTTTGACACTTATAACAAATGTATTTATTCTAATGGTAACCATAAATATTGATAGTGATATTAATATTCAAATCATATGTGAAAAAACTATAAATAATCTAGTGACATTTCTATACATGTCACGAACAAGATAAGTTAAGAGCTTAAATTATTAACATTTGAAAATGTCGTAAATAAATGTCGGTAGTGAGTTGCCGACATTAATTTAAATGTCGCAAATTAACGACATTGAAATTTTCGATAAATGTAAAATAAATGTCGGTAAACAAGTTTGTGATATTTAAGTGACTTATGGCGACATTTATAAAATGTCGTCGTATCCCGTATTTGTTGTAGTGTCACCACCATGCCCATTACAGATATTAACAACCTCGATTAGGGCACGTATTTCCTGACCCCTTTTAGTGAACTGCTGGACCGTGACTATGTTATGGTTATAGAGGATAACCATACCACCTGCTTGCCCTTCTGTCGGGACTTCTATAAGTTCTGAGAAGTTGAATTCATTGAGTAGGGTTGCATGTGCCGTCATCCTAGTTTCTAACAAGGCAACCATGCATGGCCTATGGGTGTCAATAAATTCCCTAAAATTCCTACGAAACTCGTCATTGTTTGCTCCCCTAACATTTCAGAAAATAATGATGGTGGCCCTAATCATTTCTAAGGTTTGGTGTTGGTTGACATTAGCTTCCATTTCCACATTGTTGTGGTTCCTCCTCCTCAATGGTACAAGTATCACTGCTTGTTTTCCCACTGTTGGATCCTGTAGTGGCCTTATGTGCATTGAGTATTTGTACATTGTACTGGGGCAGCTGAAGATGTACTTTTTGCTCCACAATTCTGGGAAGAGCAATATTTTTACCTCGTTTAGGCTTGAAAACTCCACACTCGATTCCATACCTTGTTGTGGGAGTTCTTCTTCTTCCCCTACTTGATTTGGCACTGGGTTCATGTTTGGTTCTTGTACATTGGCTTAGTGATTCGGGTGCAAATTGACTGGGTTGAGATTTATTGGATTGGCATGTTCTTGCTTTGCATGGAGGTTCCAGGGCATGAAGATAGGGTTTAGGTTTGTATTTTCCTCCGATGGAAATAAGGGCAGGTTCACTGGGAGGTTCATTGGTCTGTGTTGGTTTGGAATTTGTGGTAGGTTCCACTGGTCTTGCATTGCATGAATTAATGTGTGATGCATGTTGGGAGCTAGTGGATGAAGGATGTTGTTGATCCATACTTGGTTTGTATAGTTGTTCATCGCTAGATACATTCCCTCCGAGATTAGTTGGGCTAGGTATCGTGAATTTTGAATTATTATCACCATCTCTTGGCCGTTGATTTGGATGTTGAAGGTGATGGCATAGCCCAGTAGACCCGCTTCTAGCCAAGAGTTTGGTTGATAATTTTGTGATTGTGGAGTGGATGTGAAGAAGAAAGGTTGATTGGGGAGATGGGGTGGCAGTGGTGGTAGGTTGCCCATTTTTTGGTTCCTTAGTTGGTGAGGAACATGTACTAGCCTGGACCTCCTCCTCGCTGTAAATGGTAACCTTGGCATCTTTTTATCTAGTAGAGGGGCTTATATTGGTATTTTTCTTGGTATTTAGTGGTGCAAAGGTAGTGATTATTTTTTTAGGTGTAGGTTCAATTTGCATGGAGATTGATTGGAGTGGCGTGTGAGATTTAAGGGGATTTTGTGAAGATTTGTTTGATGCCACTTGTTCCAGTGTTTCTTCCATTTGGCAATCCATCTTTGCCATAGACAAGCGATTTTTGACCATATTAGGTTTGGTGGTGGGGCTAGTGCTAGGAGATTGCCTGGAAGATTGTGTAGATGAATTAAATAAATTAATATTATTAATAGTAGTAGATTTTGTAGTATTATTTTGTTTTAATAGGTTTTGTTCCAATTACTAGGGTGAAGTTTCCAAAGTTTTAACAGTCTCCTTCACGTGTAAGGAGATAATATTAAGGGTGTCCATTTTCATGTGCATGCATTGGTTGGAGTCTTGTGTAACCGGTATTCTGGTGGTAGTTTTGTCACAAACCATAGGTAATTCTTCTAGAATGGAAAAATGGTTTGAAGACTATAAAGCTTGTTTGGAGGGGGGATTACCGATTCTCCAAGTAGATTGCTTGATCTTGTTGTCAGGATTAGAATGATCAAATGCTTCATTTTCAATATATCTAAGTTTTTGAGTGTTGAGAAATTTACCTGTGTCAGCATCAAATATTCTTGCATTAATACCTGATGTTGTTGCCTTGGATGGTGGTGTGGAACGTGTAGTGATTGCCTTATTTTTGGAGAATGAAACTGTTATCCAATCTCCTTGACAAATGTCCCGTGTGAGTGTGTCTTGATTTTCCTGTAGCACTTTGGGCTGGATAGGCTGCATATTTGAGAATTGGCATTAAATACAGTTGTGGACTAATCTACCACATTTCTTGCATAAAAAATTTTCTCCTTCGTAGTGAATTTGTTGTTTATATTTCTCAATGTAAACAAAAGGCTTAACAGGCATATTCATCGGAACCGCCACACACAACCTTCCATAACGAGCTCTTAATGTTGATTAAGTACATGCATCAATTCTAAGCAACCTTCCAATTTTGTTCTCAATTTTTGTAATATGGTAGCTTCATAAAATTCTGTTGGTAGTTGAGGCAGACGAACCCATACTGCCGAGAATAATTGTTTGGCTTAACTTGCTACAAATTGAGGTTCCCATTTTTGTATTGAAAAGAAAAAACCATTTATGAACTATGGACCATTGTTTAAAGCCTTAGACATGTTTTCCTCCTTATTGAATTTAACAATAAAGTAATCTGCTTCAAGGTCCATGAGGCTGAAATTTTCAGTAGGCCTCCAAAATTAATGTATTTTCCTCTTGAAATATTGGTGGATAATGCGCTTACCCATAAGCTTAATAATGAGTGAAAATTTTCAGGGTTGGTAAATACGTTGGAGGTCTTCTACTGATAGGTTAATTCTTAGATTTTCACTAATTTCTTCAATTTCTTGCGTACACATACTTGCCTGGGCTAGATATTTCATAGGGGTATCGAGTTGCATAGATTACGTGTGAGGTTCTTTAGATTGCATAGATATATGTGGTATATATGTTGCTTCTGAGTCCATTAGTAGCATCTCCTTGAAGGAGAGTGTAGATGATTGGGTTTATGTGATCGAAGTAGTAGGCAGTGATTTAGTCTCTCCTAGGACAATTTTATAATTACCTCTAACTGCATGGCGATGTCAGACGGCTTAGGGGAAATTTTTTGGTGTTGATTGGGGGAGAGTGGGGGGTTAGTCATTAATACAAGAGGTTGAAGATGATGATGTTTCTAGAAAGAAGTCGGACCTTCTCTCTCTATAAACTTTTGATCAATTTAAGATAGAGAAAATGGCCTTACCCAACATGCCCCTTTACACATGCAAATAAATTTCTTATACTCTTATATTTTCAAGCTACTTTCTCTTATTTCTTCTATGCAATTTTCACTAGCTACCTAACTAGTTTTAATATAAGTGCGTTGCACGTGTGTATAGTGTCTATCAACTAAAAATATATACATGTGACGTTAAAATAAAATGCAATATTTATTTAAATGATGAAAATATTTTTTCTCACTCTAACATAGTTGTTGTATTCATTATCATCTCAATATGCATAGATGATGAATTTAGTTAAATTAATTATATATATTATTTTATAATTATACATATCTTATAATATGATATACACATATGTTAAATTGTGTCTCATCTGATATCTTTTTTAAATAAATTTTGTCTTCTACTATTTTATCCTAATTTCTTAAAGTTAAAATTTTAACCATTTTAATTCTTAATACTATAACTGATTTTATTTTATATTATAATTGTTTTTATCATCGATGGTATTTTTATTAAAAATAATTATGTACTCTAAGATTTGTGTGATCTTGAAAATTTATTTTACATATACATAAGTTTGGAAAGGAATAAAAAATTGGATTATTTTGCTAGTCAGTTAATTTAAATCCGGGAAAAAAGTTGATTCAAATATTTAGATGTCAAGTGATTAGGGTTCATAAATTCAGACCCGTAAATTGTGTGAGCCTTGAGGTTTGGTACCTCGTGGGGACTATTTAGTAAACCTGACGCGAAAGCAGTTACTCTTATCAAGTTGTTATTTGTCTTTCCTTTGTTTGTTTTTCACCGGATTTAAACTGTAACCAGCTTACTCTATTGTGTTATTACTTGTGGTGTCCCGCTGCAAATTATTGCTTCTATTTCCTATTGCAAGCACCGTATTATTGCTGTCGTTATGCGTAGTTCTGTAGATATATCATATTATGTTAGTCCTATACCTATACTTGTTCAGGTTATTTAGTCCAGTAGGTGTCTTGACTGTCCCTCGTCACTACTCTACCGATGTTAGTCGTGATACTTACTGGGTACCGTTGTGGTGTACTTATACTACACTTCTGCATATTTTTGTAAAGATTCAGGTAATTCAGAGTTAGTCGATCGCTAGCTAGCTATACAGATCTTGCTGTGCAGACTCAAGTAAACCTAATGTTGCGTTCACAGGCCTCTAAGTCACCTTCTGTATTGTAATTGCATTGTTTATCTTTATTTCGAAACAGTTGTATTTAGAGAATTTTTGTAGTAAACTCAGTAGAGCTTATGATTTGTACTACCGGTTTTGGGAATTAAAATTGTGTATAAAATTTTTATCTTGTATTCTTCGTTTGATGGTTGATTTCTTCTATTAATTCAGTAAATGTTAGGCTTACCTAATCTTAGATACTAGGTGACGTCACGACATTCTACGGAAGGAAACTGGGGTCGTGACCTAAATAATACTAACAAGCTTTCAATTTGCAAATTTGTGATCGCTTGATCTTGGATAAATTAGTTATGGTTACTATAAAAAAAAAAACAGTAACCTAGAGCCTGCAATCA